ATATTTAAAATTAATATTTAAAAAAATAATATTTTATAATTTTAATAACCTAACATTATTATTGATATATAAATCTTGGTTGAGGGTTTCAAGTGGGAGGTGGATGAGGGAAATAAAGTGGCTTTTTGGCAAGAGTGGTGGGTTGGAGATAAAAATCTTAGGGATTTATTTCCAAGGTTATTTGCGTTATCTGTGAAGAAGGAAGGAAAGGTTTTTGAAATGGGATTTTGGGAAGAGGGTAGATGGTGTTGGCGAGTTGAGTGGAGGAGGGGTACAATAGGACGTGAGAAAAATGAGGAGGAGCTGTTGGAGAAGGCACTGGTGGGTGTACAACTAAAGGAGGGGGTTGGGGATGTTTGGAAGTGGGTTCATGAGATGGAAGGCAAATATGTTGTAAAATTAGCTTATAATTTTTTAGCTTCTACGGAGCATGTTTTAGAGGACCAGATGTGCAAATTAATATGGTGCAGTTTGGTGCCATCCAAAGTGGCTTTTTTTGGGTGGTGATTGTGTTTAGATAGGCTCCCAACAAAGGAAAACCTTCAAAAACGTGGGATACAATTATAGGAGGGGGTATTTTGCGAATGCTGTAATGGGACAGTGGAGGAAGTTAATCATTTATTTTGTGTATGTTATAAGGCATGGTTAGTTTGGGCACAAGTGTCGAGTTGGTGGGGTTTGGAGAGTGTCTTGCCTAATACAGTTGTGGGAATGGCAGAATTTTTCTTATGTGGTTTGGGCAGAATAGTTGGTAAGGAGATGGGATCCTATATTTTTCTAGTGGTCGCCTGGTACTTATGGTATAGGCGGAATGTTCAAGTATTTCGAAAAGATGAAGGAATAATAGAAAACCTGCTGGAAAGGGTGCAAGTTAAAACCTTTTTATGGATTAAATCTAAAGTGAGTGGCTGCGTTTTCTCTTTTCATGAATGGCAATCTTGTCCGATGGAGTGTGCTATGTCTGTCAAAAATCATAAAAGGATGAGGAAGCAGTTCTATAAGGCTTTCGTGTCCTTTAGTTGATGGGTTGGCAGTGCAGACGGTTTTGTTTTTGATGTGGTCTTCAGGTTTTGTCAAATTCTAGTTGTAAGGAGCTTGGCTCTCATTAGATGTGGGTACCAAATATTGTATATGGGTAGAAGCACACTTGTGCTTCATTAAATAAAAAGTTTTATTTGGCTGATAAAAAAAAATTATTGATATATAATCTTCAAAATGCCAGGCAACCCACTATAGATTAGACAAGCTTTACTCTTTTAAACAAAGCCAGGCAGGAGGCTGCCCATCAAAGATCTTATAGTTCCTAGACCCCCTTGGTTCTTTGAACTTGAAAGACAAAGCATGATCATTAAAGTTTAAATTTCGTATTTTATGATTCTTGCAGCAATTTAAATGTTAATTTCAGCTTCTAAAATGTAAAGAATCTGTTTAAAATTTTATTTTTTAATTAATATTTTCAAAATTAAAAAAATTGTCAAATTAAAATTTTAATTCATATAAATCATGCATATCAATTTTTATATTTTAGAATCTTCTATATATTCTTTTCCATATTCTCATCTTTTAAAGTTTCTCTTTTAAATATGAAGATAGTCAAGCCATGACAGATGTTAAAATATTGGACAGCGATACGTACACCCATGAACCGGCACCCATTTTTACACCCAAATTGGTTTAAACAATAAAATTACAAATTTACCCTTCTCACTAAATCTATTTCCCAACAACCAAATCCCAGCAAAATTCAAGCACATTCAACAAAACTCAAGCATTCAAGCACATTCAACAACCAAATCCAAGCAAAATTCAAGCATTCAAGCACACTCAACAACAAAATCTCAGGAAAACTCAAGCATTTCACCAAATCCATCCATCCAAAAAAAAAATAATAAGAATTTCTCTGGTGAGAACCCAGCTCGGGTTCTCCGGTGGGAACCCGACTGGGTTCTCTGATGAGAACCCGAGCTGGGTTCTCCGGTGGGAACTCGAGCTAGGTTCTCTGATGAGAACTCGAGCTGGGTTCTCTGATGAGAACTCGAGCTGGGTTCTCCACTGAGAGAGAGAAAAAAAAAAAAGAAGAAGAAAGAAAGAGGTGAGGGAAAGAAGAAGAATGATCGGTGATGAAGGTGATGAGAAGATTAGAGATGGGTGATTGATGATGAAGAAGAATGATCGGTGATGAAGGTGGAGGATGATGAAGATCGGAGATGATGGGTAAAAATGGTGATTAGAGGATGATGGAAGAAAAAGAGGATGAATGTTAAATTTGTAATTTTATTCTTTGGTTTATACAGGAAAACTTTTATTCTATAATATGTGCACCCACCGGTGTTGAACCGGTGGGTGTACATATCTTTATCCTAAAATATTACATCATGCATATTTTATATTCCCATATATGTATATATATATATATATATATATATGCAAGGCCCTTATTCAAAGAAATATATAGTGTCTTGGTCAAATTAACTCAAAATGAGAAAATTTAGAGTTGCGGAATGGATTTGATGAGATATATAGTTTGAGTTAGATGAAGATAGCTGCGCTAACATAAGTGATTCAATTAATATCTTAAATCACTTTAATGATTCGTTTTTGGGTTTCTTTAGATTCTTTGCACGCATGGGATTTGAATAAAATAAAGTGTACATATATGTCACTTTTAGAAAGAAAAGGAAAGAGTGATTACATGTGAGGCCACACAAATCATGCGTGTTAATAAAAAAAAATGGTGTTGAAACCTAGAAGGTATTACGCTAAAAGATGCATATACTCTTTGTTTTTCCATCAATTAATCTTTTAGGAAGCACCTGGCCTCTTGGCCTAGTGGCAATTGCCACTTTTAGGTGGGTTCGACCCACCCCATGATTATTGTTTAAAAAAAATAATAATAATCCTTTAAGAAATGCACCTGCAGTTTTCGATTGTTTTGATTAAATGTATTTAAACTCATGATTTTGATCAAAATTTAAAATTATAATGTGTAACCTCCTCTCTCCCTCATATTCCCCTGTTCAAAAAAAAATTAATCTTCTGGGAAATAATGAAGGAACTGGAACCACATCTCTTCTCTCTCCGTCCCATCATTAACTCAGTCATGCAGACGTACGCATCCTTATCGGCTGACACGGTTTCATCCCATAGTCTGGGATCTTTTTTTTTTTTTGGTGAAAATAGTCTGGGATTGAGAGTAATTCTGCTGTTTGGCAGTTTTGGTGATGATACTATGGATGGAGTACTTTTTGTATTTTTTAATATAAAATTATTTTATTGACCGAAAAAAAAAAAAGAAATTGCTAAGAAAGTGATGAACTTTTTGTAAGGACGAATCTTCTATATGTATGCACCCATGTTCGCTGACACGGTTTCATCCACACTCTCGAGAGCGAAGGGGTAAATAAAAGTGTCTATTTTAGAATTTTTTATTTAAAAATATTAATTTTTAATTTTTTTATTTAAAAATATTAATTTTTATTTTTTTATTTAAAAATATGAATTTTTAATTTTTTTATTAAAAAATTAATTAGATGATAATACTAACATAATAAATAAATTTGTTAATTGAAATATTAAAAGTTGACATATTTAAATATTAAAAATTAAAAAATAATATTTTTAAATAAAAAATAAACTAACAAACTAACAAAATGTAAAGTTCACATCCTGATTTGTATTATTTCTCACACTCTCGACACTAGAAAATGATATATTTTATTTTTAATTGAAAGACGTTTTTACATTGTGTTTGGTATATTTATTGTATTTATTATTATTAATTTATGTAAAAAAATTATAAAAATAAATTTTATTTTTAATAACAATATTATTTAAAATAATTCAATTAAATAATTAATAAATTTTAAATAAAAATTTATCTGTTATCTAAATTCATAATAAATTTATATAATAATTACATCTTTCGCTTATTCAAAAAGTAAAAGATTCTTTAATTTAATTACCAAAATTGCCCATCACACTTAAGCGTCTTATCATACAAGTAAAGAAGGGCACAACCGTTATTCTGAATGGTCATGAAAGCAAATGTTGATCGAATCTGCCCCTCAAAGCACTACAAAACAAAACGATGGAATTGATCTATCATTGGGTCTCAACAATGCTCTGGCAGCCAACTTTTATTTGTTCAGTGGGACACGTGCACTTGTCTTTTCTTTTCTTTTCTTTTTTTATGAATAACACGTGTAATTTTTGTAATAGTTATAAATTTTCCCTAAAATCACATAAAGAAATGATTTTTATATAATTTTTTATTTTATTTTTATATAATTTAACATATTATTTAAATAATTAATTTTTTTAATTTATATAAAATTTATAATATTAAATTTATTTATTTAATAAAATATAAAAATTATATAAAAAAAATAATATTAAAATATTTTCCTTATAGTACCGCATATTGTGATCTTCAGCCTTCAGATTACACTGCCTCACCTTCTTCTTCACACCAACTTCATAGCTTTCAAGGTTCATTTTTTTTTTTTCTGGCCGAAACACTAAGCCAGCAAAAATGGCTTTGGTTTCAACTCAGACACTGCCCTATTATTCTACTTCTACCGGTGGAAAGCTTACCTTCCCAAAACATGTGGTTGGGAAAATAGGTATGCTTTTTCACCCAAAACTGCAAAATGAAAGAAAGGCTGAATTGAAGGTGTTTTTGGAAGTTCCTAAAGAGGGTAGTCGCCCGTTTGAGGTAACCGCATCACTTCAAAAGGAGGGAAATGGTGATAGAGTGGTTCTCTTGGCGAGTGGGTGGAAGCCTATTGTTAGGGAACTTCAACTGAAAGAAGGAGACACGGTGAGTATTTTTCTCTTAAATAACACGGAGTGGACTTATTTAATGGCAGTGACAAGGGCTCCAGAGGCCAAACGAGTTGATGAGGATGTAGTACCGGAAGAGGCTCCAATAAGGATGGAATTTGACCTGAACCAGCCTGTCCAAGTCCAACTCGAAATGGAAATCAATCTGAACCAACCGAATCAACCGGTATGTATGGAGTTCGACCTCAATGAACCGGCATACCCCCACATGGAGATGGATGAGGATGTAGTACCGGAAGAGGCTCCAATAAGGATGGCATTTGACCTGAACCAGCCTGTCCAACTCGGCATGGAAATCAATCTGAACCAACTGAATCCACCGGTAAGGATGAAGTTCGACCTCAATGAACCGGCACCCGCCCACATGGAGATGGATGAGGATGTAGTACCGGAAGAGGCTCCGATGAGGATGGAGTTTGACCTGAACCAGCCTGTCCAACTAGACATGGAGAACAATCTGAACCAACCGAATCAACCGGTAAGGATGGAGTTCGACCTCAATGAACCGTCCCCCGCCCACATGGAGATCAATCTCAACGATGAAGAGTGAAGGATGGGAGCAGGAGAGTGGAGTGGTATGTTATATATATACTGATATACGTTAATGGTTTAACTGTTATTTTTATAAATTTTTTTGTACAAGAATATCCCTCCCCTTCCCATAATTTCTTCTCACTTGTCTCAAGATTCATATTGAAGATATCTATTTTAGAGTTTTGAACTCATCTTACCCATGCACGAATGTGAGTTCAATTTCTTTGCTTGTCATCCTTTTTCAGGCCCCCCCCCTTTTTTTTTTTCCAGGTTCTTTGTTGGACAACTTTGGAGATTGACTTGTACAAGAGCTCCGCAAAAGTGGCAGAAGAGTTGCTTTTTTACTATATATATATATATATTTTTGATCGGCAGTTGCTTTCTTACTATTGTTGTTGTTGTTGTTTTTTTTTTTTTTTTGGGGTAGGGTGGGAGACTTCAGACTTGAACCTGCTGAGTGCAGGGATGAGCAGAGGATGAGGCCCACAAAAAGACCCACAGCACAGCGCTCGCGCGCGAAGCAAATGGGTTTTGTTGGTTTGTGTTGCTCAGGATGAACAGTATGACATTTGTCAGTACGGCTTACTTGGGATTGGTTTTTTTTTTTTAATGTTTGGGATTGGTTGATTTTGTCCTGTCGTGTTTGTTCCTGATATTACATGAGTGGAGTATTTATTTAAAATTGGAAAACTTGAATTTAGATTTCTTTTTTTGTTTCATCCATTTGAGTTTATATATATATATATCGCGATTGATTTTTCCCTTAATTTAATTATTATATAGTTTTCCAACTGACTACAAAATCCACACCTGGGCCCTAGCTGTTGACAGAGAATTCCTCAGGCGATCGACATTTACTTTTGGAATCAACTTCGGCAATGTGTGGTCGGCTGTCGCCGGTGAAGACGCAAAATCCAGTGAGATGACGCTGAAAGAGTTCCGACCTCCACAGATCTAATGGGCAATGCCTGCCGGCCCATAGAAGGTTTAGTAAAAGATTCCGAACATAAAGAAGTTAGTTTGCGAACACGTGATAGGGTACTATCTATGATTTGAAATGTCGGCTCTCTTTTTATTTTTTAATAATTTAATAGAAGAAAGGAGAACCAGTATTCTATGCAAATGATGTTTTGGGTTTTTGTTTCTCCGAGCTCTCAGAGCTTTCAGGCGCCGTCATGGCGCTGCTAATGAATCTCTCGTTTCATTCTTCGCTATTTTTCCTTCTTTTCCACCCGTTTCTCACACTTTGCATTTGATTTCTTTCCCATTTAGTGTAGTCTTTGTTCAATTTTCGAAAATTCTAAAATTATTTTTTGCTTTTTTTCCCTCCAATCAAACCCTAATCTAGATGCGGTTTTTTGCTCTGAATGCAATGAGAGTCTTTCTGCCGTCGATCTGGTGCTGCCTCAAGATAAGGATTCGAGTGCTTCAGTCCAAAGGATTGGAGCCTTCATAGATAATGGTTTGGTTACTGGTGAATCGAAGGAGTTATGCTTGGTCTCCAAAGCCGGAATTTACATCTCTGTAGATTCAAAGAATCGAATAGATCAAGCCATGCTTATTGGTTTTTTAAATCAACCGAGAAGCTCAAAATCTTCCTGGGCAATGGTTTGGAGGCAGGTGAATCGTTGGAGGTATGTCTGGTTAGCAGTGCTGAAGGGTTTTCTCTCAGTGTGGGTTTATCACTAGCCTGAGCTTGTCTCGTGGAATCTATGGGTGCGCTTTAGCAGGAAAGAGAAGCTCCTTCCTTGTTGCCGGCAGTACTTTACCAGATTTCCTGATGAACGAGATCCACGAGTTGAGTTTTCCAGCTATCAAATATGAAGATGCAATTGAGTGGTTAAAAGGTAGGTGGCTAAATCAGTGGCAGTTCTGTATGCTTGGTTTGCTTTGAATGTCTGGGTTGCGGTAATTGTCAGGAGTATGATTTATTTAGAATCCCTGAATTTTCTTGAGTATGGTCCTGGTAAGAATTTTTTTAAGCATAAAAATATGAACAGAATTAAGTCCATATATAAGTCCGTATATATATATATATATATATAGTAGATTCCACTTAATGCTGATTCAATTTTTGATGTTAATGCTGTGGTTAATGGTGGGATGGCAATGCCTTTTTTGGGTTTTGGTGGCTGTCATGATGATATGATTGCCTTACATGAGAATGCCCAGTTGGTAGGATCCCTCCTGGTTATAGGGGCTCAAATGACATATCTAGTTAAGAATGACTCATGTCTGTTTATGTTTCTAGCTCATTTACTAATTGAACAAAAGAGAAGAATAAGACTGGCACTGGTCTTGTGGGTGACCAATTTCCGAGTGGGATTAGATTTGCTTTATCTGTGATGTGGTAGACTCAATTCCTTGCTGGGAGATTGCTGGTTGGTTGGTACAGGGTGATGGACATTAAAAACACTTTGGATTTTGGTCCTTTTCTTATTCTTTTCGACGATTGTGTTATAGGAATTGTGGTCTCAAACTTGGCTCATCGCTGATTTTTTATTAAGTTGTTTTGTTCCTTTATGTCATCTTATGGGAGTATATGGTGGATAGAGGTGGATGCCTGCTATGGCTGGATAGGGTGGTTGGTGCTCTTAGATCGCCTTTGGTTCGGGATGTGATTAAGAATGATTCTGAAGCTACAGAATCCAATACTCAAGAGTTGGTGTGAAGAGAAACTATTGCACTAGTTTGGCGATGGTGTTTCTAGATGTTGTCATGGTATCTGCTGCCAATCTGCTTAGATCTGAAAGTTTGGTATGGTTTTGTGCCTCTATAGCAACAGGGATTGGAGTGATGGAGATTAGCACAGTAGTGCAGCAATACCTTTTTATATCACCAAGCCTTTTCCATTTTGCTGGTATTCTTCCAGAGAAGAATGATTCAGAGTTCACACCACAACACAACTTGGAAAAAAGGATGAGCTGCTGGCCTTTGGCTGGGGAACTACCACCCCCTTGCTTTCTCAATGTGGCTGCAGATCATTCTTCCAGAGTTGGCTATTTATCAATAGTTTCTGTGGTTTTGGTTTTCTTGATATATTTATAGTGGTATTAAATTATCAATTAAAAAAATTAAATTGTGAAACTAATTAAATTTTTAACTTTATCGGCCATTAATTTCAAACACAGTGATTCGCCTTGATGCAAATATTAGGCTAAAACCAATTTTTAGTTTCTTATCTTATAAAATTAGTAGGTTTTAATCCGTAATCTTATAATATGACACTTTTAACCTTTTATCTTACAAAATTAGTAGGTTTTAACCTCTCACCTTATAAAATTGATAAGTTTTAACCCATCACCTTATATTATAACACTTTTAGCCTCTTATATGTACAAATTGAAGAAAATAGTCATCACTTAACAATAAGTTATAATATTCTATTAGTTCTGTTAGTTGACTATCAGTTTTGTTAATAATATTTATTAATAAATATTATTTTTTGCTGTTCAAAAAAAAAACTGATTGTTAGCATCCATTAATATTCCGTTAATGAAACTAACAAATAAAATTGATTTTAAATTTTATGTTTTTTATAACAGAATGCTAACAGATGTTAACAGTTAACTAACAGAACTAATAGAGTGTTATAACTTAATGTTAGGTAAAGGCTATTTTCTTCAATTTGTATAGTTGAGGGGCTAAAAATGTCATAATATAAGGTAAGGGGTTAAAACTTATCAACTTTGTAAAGTGAGAGGTTAAAACCTATTAACTTTATAAAGTAAAACGTTAAAAATATCATGTTATAAGGTAAAAGATTAAAAATATCATATTATAAAAAAAATTAAAACTTATTAATTTTATAAGATAAAAAATTAAATGTTGATTTTTGTCGCAAAAATTATTGCAAGTTCATTATCAAAATAAATATATATTTATATATTATTGGAAGTTTTGCTTTTTGACAATTGTAGTGGGAGGCTGAGTCATGTAATTTTGTCTTCATCTTCTTGTTTTCGGTTAAAATGTCAAATCTAGTCCTTGACTAAAAAAGTGGTAAAAATATTCAGCGACAAAAAAGTGCATAACTGCAATGCAATGGATGGCATACATTTATTGTTTTGACTGATATTGACTTTTGACAATGACTCATAAAAGAATGAAAGAATTATAGTGTTGAATTTTTAATTTAAGAACATGTTTAGCTGAACTTTTAAGAGTTTTAATTTTTTAGTATTATTTATATTTTATAAGTTTAAATTTTTTTAATTTTTAAAAAATTTCAAATAGTAAAAATTTAAAAAGTTTACTATTTTTCACTTACTTTTTCATATCTCTAAACATAACTTTAAAATTTTTTTCCTAATAAAAATTTAAGGTTAAACCTTCATTTTGGTCCCTCAACTATTGTACGGACCCCCGACTTAATCCCTCAACTCAAAAAATCCCTGATTTGGTCTTTCTGTTTACCATTTTTACCCCAATTTAGTCCCTCCGTTAAAAATCCAATGACGTGTCCGGTTAATTAACTGAAGCATGATGATGTGTCAAAATAGAATGACACCTCATGCACACCTGTAAAAAAAAGATGACATGGCAGTATGATTCAGATCCAAAATCAAAAAAGAAAAGAGTGGGCCCCACCTCTTGCAAAGCTTGAACTCTTCTCCCCCTTTCTTCCCCATTCCCAGTTCTCAGTTCCTCATCTTGCCTAGCCTTCTTCATCAATCAATTCCTTCATCATCATGAAACAACAAGATCCACAGAAAAAAAAAAAATCTCTTTTTTTTTTTTTTTTTTTACTTTTTGCTCTTGGGTTCGTTCGAACCTAGGAAGCCGCCTGGGTTCGTCCTCCTTGG